ATACATAAAGGCACACAGACATACACACATACACAAAGTTATGAAAACAAATTTATATGCAGATACCATACAATAAGGCACACAGACACATACACAAAGTTATGAAAACAAATTTATATGCAGATACACATACAAAAGGGCATACAGATGCACCTGTAATGAACACAATGGCATGTAGAGATATAAATATGCACAAAACATATTGCAGAGATACACGTCATATAAAAACACACAAGCATATAAAGATACACACATACACAATGACACTCAAGCACACAACAATACAGCCACAAAATGTAAAAAAAATATATATATACATACACAAATGCATGCACACACACACACACACACACACACACACACACACACACACACACACACACACACACACACACACACACGCACACACACACACACGCACACACACACACACACACGCACACACACACACACACACACACACACACACACACACACACACACACACACACACAACCAAAACCACAACAAACACAGCCGTCGCCATGTTCCCCAATTGACGGCGCGCTTATCCCGGCCACTCCCCCGCCCCCCCTCCCCTCCTTCCAGCATCTCTCGTTTCTCGGAAGAGCCAGTCGGCGCCTCCCCGTTTGAAGCGATTCCTCAACACCCGCGCCACAAAAGCCAATCCTTTCCCCTTTTTCCCCCCATGAGAAAACGTTCAACTTTTCTCTTCTTCTCTCTCCTCCCCTTTTGGTTCATGCCACTTCAATCAGAGACAATCTGTTCTATTCTTCCGTCTTCCCTTTCTCGCCCCCCTCCCCCCTTTTTTTCTTTTCTTTCTCTCTACCTCCTTGCTCTATCTGCCTTTCTCTCAATCTCCGTCTTTATCATCCAGTGCCTCCTCCCTCCCGCCCTCGCCATTCCTAACCCCTGTCTTCACTCGAGTTTCCAGACGTTTAAACCGGGTTGGAATCCCCCCCCCCCCATCCTGCCGACGAAACGTTTTTCTCACATTTACTCCCGAGGTCGAAAACGTTTTTCTTCTTCTTCCTCTTCTTCTTCTTCTTCTTCTTCTTCTTCTTCTTCTTCTTCTTCTTCTTCTTCTCCTTCTTCTTTCTTTCTTTTTCGGAGGGTGTGCTTAATGTAATTGCACTGATGGTTTGGCCAGCGTCCCCTCGGCTATCGGACTCAAAACAAACCCTGATGCTCTTCCGCTGCTCACTCTGGCTGGTGTTAAACGTTTCTCTCTCCTTTTTTCCCCCTTCCTGGCGGCGAGAAGGGGGAGAGAAACGGCCAAAGTTGAACGTTTTCCGGCAACTTGGACTTCTTAAAGGCTGCCACCGGAGAAATCCTGACCTGGAACTGATCTAGTGGAAAGGAAGGTGGAGAGGGGAAGCGGCCGATCTCTCCTCGACGCTGAGCAATTTCCAACATTTTTTCCCCTCGAGCGCGAAAGCCGACGCGACCGGCGGACACGCGACGGAAATCTTTCCCGACATATCGATAGCGATAAATTCACTCGCACTAACAAAGGCGCGAGGAACGGTCGCCCCTTCGCCGTTGAAACCCCGCTACACGACGTGAAATCCGACGCAAACCCCGAAATTATGACGTCGCTAATATTCATATCGCCCCTCTCCTCCCTCCTCCCTCCCCCACCCTCCCCACCACCCCATCCCTCCAAGGCCTCTCCGCTGCGTCACCCCCTGAAGGCCATTCTCGCTGACCTTCCCTCGCCCATTGCTTGCCTCTTACCTCCTTAAACGACCTTCCCTTCCCCAAACGACCCGTCGCTCCCCTCGCGCTAAATGGCTCCTTAAGGGGGGAGCGGAGGGGGAGCGGAGGGGGAGGGGGGCGTCAGAATCACCCGCTAGATCAGCCTCGAGGAGCCATTTAGCGTCCATGTCTCCCCCCCCCCCCACGCCGCCCCCGGGGTCAAGGGCCGACCGCCGCAACGCGTGGGTTTACCCGTAGACTGAATCCGCTCTATGGAACGCTCGGAAGTGCGCCCCGGCCCCTTATCGGGTCCGTTTCCGGTGCCCTCGCGCAATCACATGTGCACATAGACACAATCTCCGGCTCACGCACACGCACACGCACTTAAACACACGCACACCGATACAGCAGTGTGTAAAATCCCACATGATATCCACACAATGCCAATACTAGGTTATAAACACCATAGACATATATCTCACAACCACGGAAACCACAACACACTCCATCGTAAAAAAAGCGCCCACGCCAGCCCCGCCCATGAGCGCCGAGCAACCGAGTCCCCGCGAGAGAGAGAGACCGCAGCCGCGGGCCGACGGCGCGAGAGACCGCAACGCAAGCAACTGAAAACAACAAACAACTTATTCACCGAGAAGTCTACCGAGCTTCCCAAGCCTCTAAGTTCGCGAAAACAATGGTAGACCAAGAAAAGGGATGAAGGAACAAGGAAGAATGAAAAAGTCTGAATGAAATGTCTTTAACACGTCTCGATTAAACCATCGTTAGAGATTCATCCGATGAA